TCGATCTTTGACCTCCATATAATTCGATATTCAGATGACTTGCCAAAAGATATGATAATGATAATAATGTAATAATAATGATAAGGTTGATACTAATAATGATAATAGTAATGATAATAATAACGATAATAGTAATGGCAATAATAACGATAATAGTAATGACAATAATAACGATTATAATATAATAAGATTAATGATATTCAGACAATTTGAAAAAGAAATATAAACAAGAAAACAAATGACAATCGACCAGCTCCCGCCTCGAAACAAAAGGAAAGAAACGACGATGAATAAAAAAATAACGATATCGATAACAAAAAAGGAGGAAAATTATTCATTCACTTCGTCTTTTCATCTCCTTTCTTTGTCAGATTCTCTGTTGCTAATGTTTACACAATGACCTCGCAACATCCTTCATCGGGGAACAGGAAATGGTGGGAAGAATGGAAAAGTAGGAAAATATTTCACGCGAAGAAGGGTAAATGAAGGGCAGGGAGAGAGAGGGAGAGCAGAGGGAGGGAGGGAGGGTAAGAGGAGGGAAGAAGGAATTAACAACAAGGTAAGAACAAGGTAAGGGTGGGAAGGTAAAGAAAACAGTAAGAGGAGTGTAGGAGGGTAAAATGTTGGTCCCATGTCCATATGAACGTAGGGGACATGTGCGCAGAGAAACATGCTTACTAAGCCGCGGGATGATGCGGTAGGATGGCCAGTTCCTTTCCGCCCCGACTTTGACCCCGACATGCTAACGTCAGCATATCAGTCAGTAATCATTCACAGCTGAGTCGACTGCGAGGGGCGGCAGCCGGGCGCGACCCCAGGACCTTGCGACTGCAAAGCCAGCCTCCACCGCTGAGCTATAAAACCTTATGAATTGATCACTATTGAACGCAAACCCAACAAGACCCAGCCCGAATCCCTTTATTCAAAAGCCACACAATATGCTGAGCACCGACCACACCGAGAACCAACGCCGAACGAACATACGCAGGACAGAAAGAACTCAAAGGAACGCAAACGAAAAGGGTAGAGTGCCCGAGGCTGGGTGGGAGTTGCCCTCTGATTGTTGTCAATACACAGGACAACCATGAAGCGATGACCACGTCACTGACAACAATTACAGGTGGAATGAATTAAAAGGAGGATGAACGAAGGGTAAAGAGGCGAAGAGATGGGTAGAGGGAGGGCAGGGTAGAAATGAAAATAAGATGAGGGAAGGCAGAGGGAGGGCAGGAAGGTAGAAGGAAGGTAAACGGAGGGTAGGAGATTAGAAAGGGGATAAAAGGAAAGAAAAAGAATAATAAAGAGGGTACGAGAAGGAGAAGTACAGTTTAAGGAGGGTAAGGATAAGACAGAAGGAGGAGGAGAAGGAAGGAAGTGGAGAGAAAAGATGAAGAATGATGATAAAACAGAATAATCATCATTATCTGTATCACTATTATTACCATTATTGCCATCGTCATGGTTCCGTAACTTCTATTGATGTTATTAATTGCACTGTTATAATCATTAATTGTTATCCATTTCTTATCATTACCACCCCTACCACTAGTATCCCTTTATCATTATCATCACTGTTGAATTTTATTATCACGTTTCTCCTTCACTCACTTAAAACGGATTAGTTAAACCGGACTGACCGTTAAAAGTCGTCTGGTAAAGTAGAACTTACTTTCTCCGTTATACTAATTCTTTTCCTTCCTTTCATAATCCGCTTTTGGGGGAACAAGGAAATTAAATATTCCGGTCAAGGTTGATTTACCTTTTTTTTTCTCTTGACTACGCTACTCGAACATACAAGTTTTATTTCTGTTCGAATTTTCCGCGTTATAGTGAAGTGGATGTTTAGAACTGCCTCTGTTTGTTTGATTGTTTGTCTATCTAACTCTTTGTCTGTCTGTCTCTGTCTGTCAGTCCGTCTTTATCCCTCTAGATAGGTAGATAGATAGACAGATTGATAGACAGATAGATAGATAGATAGATATATAGACAGACAGACAGTTTAAATACAATACCGGAAATACAAGAATGCGCAATAAACAACTAAAATCTCTCTCTCTAATCACAGTAACAACGAAGTGATGTTAAGAATCTGTGGCTGAATGTCTTCCCCGGTGGAGAGGGGGGAAACCGCAGTATTCCGATGACGTCATAGTGGCCCGTGGTGATGACGTCAGGAAGTGTGACTGCTTGAAACAGAAGAAATACGGCGCGCGCCCTTTTCCGGATGCGGAGTGGATTTTTGACCCACGTGTGACCCTTGTGTGTGATTACTTACTGCGTACATGGATTTATACGCATATAATCTCATATGTACTTATCCATATGCACGTTAATACATGCACAGAAATGTATACATATATATTTAAACAAATAAACATTCACACACCACAGCCCTCGAAAACACTCAACATGTGAACACACACACACACACACACACACACACACACACACACACACACACACACACACACACACACACACACACACACACGCACACACA